GTCTGACCTGCGTGAGGAGTTGAGCTCCACTGAAACTACCCCGCCCCCGCAACTCGAAGACCATGCCGTAGGATCCTACCCTCACTCGCACTTTGGCACCCGCTCCCTCAAGCGCTACTCGGCCAACAGCTCCGCTTACAGCCAATCCTACCAGTCTACCGTCTTTTCCGACAATGGTAATGGCCACCACTATCGCCAGTGGAGCAACGTGTCTGACCGCCCCACTACGTCAGGCACCTCGGTTGCCGGCTCCTACCATGACGATGCCAATGACCATGCTGACCTCGCTGCCGCCGTCGGCCTGCTGAGCTGCTCGTACGGCACCCCCAAGACGGGACCCGTTGCGCTCCCGCCGGACGTGCCACCCGTGCCCCCGCTACCAGCAAAGTATTTTGACCTGAATGCCCGTACCCTGTCAGGTAGCACCACCGTCACCGCGCAGCAGTCGAGTATGCGCAACAGCTACCGCTACCACAGCGAGAGCAAGGACGTCGACATGGACGACGACCACTTCGCCGACGAAGAGGACTACCGTTACTCCAACTCGCGCAGCCGCGGCCGCATCGACGAGGACGACGACGAGATCTTCGGACGGATGGAGGAGTAGGAGCCTTCTGCGCTTGACACGCCCTTACGACGTCCCGACATCTCTTGCCATGTTTCTTTCCATCGCCTCCATTTCCCACCGTACTTCCGGCCCTGTACCACAAACCAAATACCAGCCATTTAGCAATCTATCTCCGCGAAGGAAAAAGACGCAGCCTGCACACCGAGGAGAGGGCCGTCACAACCCCGACGACGCCCTTGAGGTTAAAGTACAGGTCAATCATCCGAACCTGCCGTCTTTTGCTCACCTTTGCGTCGAGAGCCTAGCACCTGCAACAAATATCCCGGAGTTTTTTCCCTTTTCCTTGTCTTTTTTTCTTGATCAATCTTCATCTCTTCACCAAGAAGCTTCAGCCTATTTTGACATAAACCCATATAACTTTACAAATACTTTCAATGACGACGGGAGGACCATGATGGCCACGCTGGATAGCGTGGCCTGGATGGAAGGAGAGGAGAGGCGAGGGGTCTTTCCAATGTGTGTATGGTCCAGCCATCTTCTTGTACATTCGGCTGTGGAGGAAACCTTTTTTTCGAAACGAACCTTGAGGACGAGAGGAATCAAGATTGAAATGCCAAATAAAACATCTCAGTCGAAAGGGAAGAGTGCCCAACGTGCGAGTGTATTTGCTTTGAGTGAGGAAATCGAAGTGCTCCCGACCGAGCAGGACCCCGTTCGTATAAGAAAGCCCAAAGCTGACGAGAGACGAAGAAATTGACAACACAGAGACGGGAAAGAGAGGCGGGGGCAACCGGTCCTTTTTACACCCCAACCCAACCCAACGTTGGGTCGCCGAGATAAAGCGTGCTGAGACGGAGCTGCGAGCTGACTGGAAAAGCGGCCAAGACCGTTGAGGTTGGGGGAAATCGTGCTTTACCTTCCTCAGTTGATAGCTTAGTTTGGCACACCATGATCCGGGGCGCCGGGTGAGCGTTAGTACCCAAACACTGGGCTAGCTTCGTTGTTGCTGGAGATCCGACTGGATGGCTGGATGGGATGGTTGCTTCCGTGCTGAGAGGTAAGTAGGAGGGAGAGGCGTTAAGGTTCGTGGTGATGGTTGTTTGTTACGTGGATGGGATATCATCGTGATGTTTGTATGTTGGCTGGAAATGGTCGAATGGTTGGATGGTTGGGTTGAGTGGACGGGTAGGATACCCCGCTATGCTATGCCATGCCATGCTACCCCACGGGACAACAACAACATCACGTCAAGAGCTGATCGTGATCGTGACACCTTGGCAAAAGCCAAATAGAAATCAAGATGACAGCATACTGATACCGTTCCTCGGACCTCACTCACTTATGTACTCTTACTTGAAAATTAGCTGACGTACACCTCCAACAATCCACCTCCCCTTCCGTCCCCCGTCCCGCAACACACTTCTAATCAGGTGTGGATCGACGACGATCCCCAATCCTACGTTGTAAGCGAGACCCATCAGCGTTGGATATGCTGAGTGAGGCGGGTCGACAGCATCACCAACTTCCTGTCTGGGGAACGTGTGCGTGTTTCAAGTTGCGTGGTTGTGGAGATGAGGATCTTCGATCTATGATGGGGCGCGTGAGGACTTTGTTGGTTGGTGGGGGGATTAAGGCTGGGAAGTGGGGTATCGTGTATCGTGATGAGGGAAGGATGCGAGGACGCGTGGTTTGTTGTGGGTTTGGTGCGGTGGGTGGTGTGGGTGGAGGGGTGGGTTTGGTATCGTGATGTTTGTTTGGTGTGTGAGGTGCGAAGTCCACGGGTTGGTTTGGGAAAGTATGACGACAGATGATCTGCAGCTCTAAGAGGACATGCAAGGCGAGGCACGTCAATCGAGAAAAAAAACTGAACAGGCCTGCAGCCTACATCAACATGTAAACCTACTAGTCAGATAACCTAGCGTCGATGTAGGCTCTAGGCCTGTTTAGTTTTTTTCTTGTATGAGGTGGAGGGACACTGTACAACAGAGCAGGTTAGTTATAGGAAGTACATAACTGCCTCTAATACATGCAATACGTTTTGGATAATCTTCAGAATGAGACCCCTCTTCATCCCTCTGAACCTGACTCTGGCAAGGGTATATCCGATGATACAGAACCAACATCTCCTAAATCGGGCTTTCTCCCGCTGGCCTTGCTTGGAGTTCCAGTCGGAGGTGCCGGGTGCCTTCTGCTTCTTTACGCGAGAGTCTATACATTCACATTATTTAGCCAAGTTCAACAGCGTAACGCCACAGCAATAACTGCTATAAGCAACATTTCACGATACCCAGTGGGTAACTTGACATGGAAGGAGGAGAGCAAGGGTTGTATACGTACTGCGAGGCATGATGCTGCTATGCGTACACGAATGTCAGCATGAGTGCTTCCATGTACGATAGTCCGCCTGCCGGTCGTTGTTGTCGAATGCCATCCTGTCTTGGTGTATCGCGTTTGTTTATCGATGAGAACGAGGATCGGAAATATCGAAGCTGCAATAGGTTAACATTGAACTTCTTCAAGGAACAACGAGCAGTTGTTGTATATCAGAGCAAGGCTGTAGGGACTGAAACACCTGACGCGCATGAAGCAGCATGAGAGGCAGGAAGAGGCCATCCCAGAGCACTAGCAGAGCTAAAGCGTAGGTGTTCATTGCCCAAGTGTGTGCGTGTAGGTATGTGTGGGGTTTCTCGAGGGGAGAGAAGACGTACTGCGGGTGATAGGTGATGGATATCGTCCAGTCGGGGTTCGAAACTAATGATATAGTTAGCAGTGTCTGCACAGTCAAAGGTATGTAAGTATCGGACGATGGACGAGTCGAACTATAGGAAGGAGAAGACTATGCTCGATCGACCAAGGCTGAGGGGCAGGAAGACACCTTACCACGCACAGCTTTAGATGAACAGACGCAGGAGAACAGGCTGGGTATATAGTCGAGGGATGGTTGTGTGAAGAGTTGGAGTGTCACTCAGCTTTGCGGTCGCCATGCGACATCGTGCAGTGTCGCTCCACGTCCATATCATGCAAAGACCTGCGCCTGGCGATTCTCTGGCCATCTCGAAGTTCTTCCTAGTCTCTTTTGGATCGCTTGAATCTGCGCAGTCGTGGGTTCGTCGAGCGAGGATCATGGTAGACACGATGGCATTCTTGCGGCAGTCGTGGGGGCAAAGAGCTTCACTTACAAGGTATGCTGTACGTAGCTTACCAGAAGATGCAGACGTCAACTGGAAAATTCGTTATACCTCACCTCACGCTAGGACGGCCATGTGGCACGATAATTCGTGAGGAAGGTGGGGGAGTTTGAGATGGGAAGGCGCGGCCGTCTACATGACCCAGCACAACTACAATACCGCTACACTACCAGATCAAACTGCTACTTCTTGCAGTGACATGATCCTCCATCAAGCTCAAAACCCTCTTCGTTATCAAAACCACTTCTTCAAAAGCCATAAGCGTGCTCTCAGGAACCTACCTGCCTAAGTCTCAGCGCGTCGCGCGCTGCGACTCCAAGACCTATTCTACGCTGGATAGGCCTTCTTTCTACTACGCTGAACAGTCGGGGGATATAGGTTTGTCGCCTACATCAATGTAAAAACATGCGAAGTGGGTGATCCAACGTCAACGTAGGCTCCAGATGTGACAGGGAAAGACTGTACGTAGCGTCGCAGACAAGTCTCGCTAGACCGAGGCCATTAAGATACCCATAAATACACGATCTTGCATTGAATATGATGGGTACTTGTGAGATCTTCAGGTTTGGTGGGTCACTGAGCATCGTGCCTTCCGGATTTGAAGCATCCATACAAGTCAAGCCGCGTTGTGAGAGACTGAGGCATATCAAAGGTTGAATGAAGCAAATGGTAATGAGAAGCAGCAGATGGCTGGCAATTAGAAAGATATAAGTGCCTGGGAATACTCAAATATCAACAGATCTTTTGATGCTCAATACGAAGTGAGGTAGCTGAATTGCCCATCTCAACTCTGGCTGGCTTCTGAGTTTGTCTGAGCTTGTGCTGTACCACGCATCGCTGTGTAACCTTCTGGAAATAAACTGGGGCCCGTGCTAAGGGGTTCATTGCAGCATATCATCCAAATATCTGGTAGACGTGTTCCTGCAGGATGCGCATGCATGTTGAGTACCCAGTGACGAGCAGCGGACGCTGTGCGATTTCATCTTAGACATGTGAAATCCGTCTCTGATGGAGTCATATTCGATCCGGGGTCTGATTGAGATACATGCAAACATAGAACCTAAGACAATGGCTTTGTTGTTGTGGGGATGGAAATAGATGTGGCTTCGGGCATGGCGTCACTCACGACCCTGCAGATCCGCACGGTTGCATGTTGCGGCTCTCCGGCGCTCGCAACACTGCGACCCAACACATGCTAGACAACTCGATGCCCTCCGACGAGCGCTGACCCACCCTTTGCTCCAATGCACCCGGCCGTCTCCATACTTGCCGATAATGTCGTCAAATACCACCATCTGCTCGCCCCGCTGCTCTACAGCGTCCTCGCGGCTGTCGCAAACGTGCACACACCGGTCCAGCATTCGCTGCTCATAACGACGATATCCTGGCTGATAGTATGGGTGCCGACTGTCTTTTGGGTGGGCATATATTCAAACAGCGACAGCGCCAAGAGGAAGACAAGCTGGCTGGCTGGCGCGCTGCTGGGTCTGTCTGTAATATGCGACCGCGCGGCATGCGATAAGCAGGGCATTTGGGCGACCAAGGTACTTTCAGACGGGATAAAGGGACAACATGCGACCGTCTAACAGCACTTCAGGCCCTAATTCCCTTCTTCACCGTCCTGTTCTCCGAGAACCAATTGGTCGCAAAACACCTTGCCCTACCCACCTGGACTGTTCTCGATGGCCCTGCAGCCGAGACCAAGACCCCCCCGGAGCGACAGCCTCATACCGAATCATACGGGATACTGGCAGTTCTCGTCGTCTCTGCGAGCGCTGTTCTAGGCGTCTACGCAGTTCCTACCACGGTCGCGCTCGGTGTCAGCAGTGCCATCTTCGCTGCTACTGGTCTTGTCCTGTTCGAGACCACCATACAAGCCGCGACAGAAGAGGGCGAGGGTGGCAAGCGAGGACTTGGGTCTGCGAACGGGAGTACGTTGCGGCGCGCCTCAGTGAGCGGTGCCTCGAGGCCGCAACGATTAGCTGCGCTCAGAGATGTCGCTGTGGCCGTTGCAGTTGTGTGCGGAATTGCGTCTATCCTTACCGAGTCGTCCTTGACTGCAAGCACGATATCTTGGGAGCCCGTATACAGAGAGTACAACCGAGAGTGGAGGGATGTACACAATTTCCGCATCCTGCAGCGCTTCTTGTGGATGTTGCCGGTTCACACCACTGTAAATGTTCTTGTTTTCGTTCTGGTACGTACTTTCTTCCATATTACTGTTGAACTACCTAATTACGCTGTCCTGTTACCAAACGCGGGTCTGGCGTCCTGCCGCGTCGTACCCGTCGCCATGGCTTTCACCCCAGCTTTTACTTTCCGGTTCCAAGACCAGAGACGTAGCTTTCACTCTCAACGTACTGTCACAATATCAAACTAACTAGCCGATAGATCTCTCAATATGGCGCTGTAAATACCTCTCTGTTGGCCATATTCTCTCACCTTGCTGCGAAACTACACTTCGCCCCGACCTTTTCCGCCGTTTTGTTTACCCTCATTTACGACGGGGCGGCACTTGTACACTTTTTTGAGTCATCCGGATCTCCCATTGTCATGGATTCGCGGCGCTCTAAGCGACTGCGTCGCTTTATCTTCATCGTTATGGCTCTTGCAGTGGGGTCTCTACTTTTCGGACGTTTCACTGGACCACCAACGTATCAGCACATCACGCATGGTGTTCTTACCGACATATCACTTTCCCCGCCTGGGATGCCACTTGCTCCGGTGTCGGTAGATCTGACCAAGGGTCATCCGGCTGCGCAATTGATTGACGCTGCAGAGGCAGACTTCCAAGGCACCCTTAACCGACAATCCAAGTCGCTCGCTGATGCGGTTCGAGAGTACCGACGCAGGAACGGGATCTCGCCACCTCCGCACTTCGACAAATGGTACGAGTTTGCGACGCGCAACGGTGTTGTGATGATAGACGAATACGACACGATCAATGAGATGCTGCTACCGTTTTGGGCGCTCAAACCATCGACGATTCGGTCGCGCATTGCGAATGCGTTAGGTCATGAAGATAGCTCCATGCTTGCAATTGCGATACGCCATGGCGCTGTAGAGAACTTCCAAGGCGGCGATGAATGGCAACAACAGGCTACCATTGGCATGATGAAGCAGTTTGTCCAGTATCTGCCCGACATGGATCTGGGCTTCAACTTACATGACGAACCGCGAGTTGTCGTGCCCGACAATCTGTTGTCGTCGATGGTGGCAAAGGCGAGGGACGAAATTCTACCGCGCACTGCGAAGAACACTGCACCTCGTAATGCCTTCTCTGCCCGTCCAGAAGACTTGAGTGATGGTACACGGTTTGCTGAAGTTAGCACGACCAAGTTCAATCGCTTTGCGCATCAACAGACATGGACGCATTCGCGGCTGTCATGCTCCCCTGGCACTCAGGCCCAAACCTTCGAAGACTACGCTGCCGATAACTTCACCGCGTATGCCGCCAGCGACCTTGGCTTTATTTACAACACAACCGCCTTCTCTGATATCTGTAACTCGCCTTCGTTCTCGTCAACGTTCGGATTTTTCGAGCGCCCCAACGCCTTCAGTATCATCCATGAGCTGACACCCGTCTTCTCACAGTCGAAGATCTCCAGCTTCCAGGACATCCTATACCCCAGTCCATGGTACTGGATGGGCAAAGTAGGCTACGACGAGACGCACGACACGACCTGGGAAAACAAAACCAACAGTCTCTACTGGCGCGGCTCCACAACAGGAGGTTTCAGTCGCAACGGCGGCTGGCGACGCCAACACCGCCAACACGTCGTCCAACGCCTGAACGCCCCCGACACCGCCAAAGTCCTCGAACCCGTCTCCAACCCCACCTCAACCTACGCCGTAACCTCGATCGAGCGCAAAGCCCTCAAAGACCTCATCGACGTCCACTTCTCCCACATCGGCCAATGCGACCCCGGCGACTGCGACGCCCAAAACGAATTCTTCGACGTAACCGAACGTGTCGACGGCCAAGACGCATGGTACTACAAGCACCTCCTCGACATGGACGGCAACGCCTTCTCCGGCCGCTTCTACAGCTTCCTCAAGTCCCGCAGTCTGACCTACAAAATGGCGCTGTTCCGCGAGTGGCATGCAGAGTGGCTACGACCATGGGTGCATTATATCCCCCTCTCCCTCCGCGGCGACGAGCATCTCGATCTTGTAAGGTGGTTCAGCGGAACACAGATTTTCGACGATGACGGCGATGGCGTTGTGGAAAGAGTCAAGGCGGATGGAAGCAAGAAGGGCGGGAATGGCGCGAGTGAAGGCGAGAAGAAGGCGCGGCTTATTGCGAAGAGGAGTTCTGAGTGGCATGATCGGGTGTTGAGGAATGTGGACTTTGAGGTTTGGTTCTTTAGGTTGCTGTTGGAGTATGGGAGGGTGGTGGATGATCAGAGGGAGGAGATTGGGTTTGCGGGGCCGTAGGTGGGCGTGAGATGAATTGAGGGAGTGTGTGAAGGGTATGAAGGAGGGAATCAGGGTTGGGTAGATGGAGTTGAATACATTGCTGTTCTATTTACATGTTCTGAGGATCGTGCACATGACAGTCGATACGTTTTGTTGATGTGTACGCGCAACTGGTGGACGCTGTGACCGAGTTACGCAAATGCATTTCTGTTAACATCAAACCATGCGGCGTCATTATTTAATTTACCCTAGCTTATCAAATACCAGATATGAAGAAGATCCCGAGGCCAACTTACTGTCAGTTGGGTTTGCGGGAAAAAGGATATAGCTGCTAAAGCGCAGCCCGATACTGTGCGGATATTGTCATCATCAGGAATACCGTAGTCCGCATCCAGAGCGAGACAAGCAAGAGGACAGAACTGGATCCAGTGCGCTAGATAGCGGCGCAGACGCACACTAACTAGTCCGCCGAGCTTGCATGACTACGAAGCGCAGATCTAGATACTGATATCGGGCTGTGAGCCTAAGCAGCCTAGCTCTAGCTGTAGTGAGGCTATGTATGCTTCTGATAAGGATTTGAACCTATACCACAGAATTAGTATGTATATTGCGGATGCGTTTAGCATCTTTTTACCTTAGTGCCAGCAGGCTGGCGACTAAGAAAGGCATGCATGAATGCCTATTTGTGAGCAGTAGCCCCTGCGGGCGCAGACGGTACAAGTCGCATCGACGACTGGTTTTTCCACATGGAAAGGACCCTACCTCCCGAACGACATTTGCGTCGCGCAGCATCATCATCATCCAGCGGAGTCCCAAAACCAAACCCCCGGGCTAGAACTTGGTTAACATTGAGATGAGACCCTGTCTCACGCGAGACTAATAGTATTGCGGTTCTCTTTCCAGGTCCACCGGAAAATTCACACGAGACTGTGTGATGTAGTGATTCAGTCGACTCCACTGACTCTCCCACCGGATGCAAGGAAAAACCTGAACAGGTCAACAGCCTACATCAACGTAGAAACCTGCAAAGTAGGTGGCCCAACGTCGATGTAGGCTCCAGACCTGTTTAGTTTTTTTTTCCTTAGTTAACGTGCTCTAGCTTGCATGTTGAATGACCTTTCATTAACGTAAAAAAACTCTAGCAAAGTGCTCGAAGATCGAATGAAAAGCCCGTCTCACATCCTACTCTCCCACCGACGAACTCTTACTCGATAACCGCTTCCAACCCGCCGCTCCATTCGTAAAGTATCCACTTATCCGTCTCCAAGCCCTTTTCAATGCCCAAGCAATACTAGTGATGATGGAACGAATCTGCGAACGAGGTGAAGTCTACTTCCTCCCCGTTCGGACGCCGTACTCGGAGTAGAAATGGCACGTCGTGTTGTGAACGACGCCGGATGTGTCTTCTTTGAAGACGTTGCAGCCGTATGTTGCGGCGTTGGGTGGGGTGTATACTGTGTTTCGTTAGTCGGACGATGATGCAATGGTGTGAAGTAGAGAAGATAGTGCAAGGACTGTGTAGTGTCTGGTATCTGAACAAAGCGTAGTGAAGTGTAAAGTAGGACGGAAGAGTTGATGCTTACAATGTAAGGAGACTGCGTAGTCTGTGGGGTGCGGGTTTGAAATACAATGCACACCAAGCGTGTCAGCCATGTATGTGACTTCGTTTTCAGCGAAAGTAGTCTCTTGAGTCTTCGTCATGGGGCGCTGGTTTTGAGCGTCGTCTTCGGTGGGGGTTGCGAAACGGGTTTCTGTCAGGCTGCCTTTGAGGACTTTCATGATGCAGTGTGCGTTCGCGTGGCTGAGTTGATGTTAGTTTTGGATCTTGCAACGCTGGGTTGCGCATTCGAGAGCGTGAGGTGTATCCATGATGGATTATCGAAAGGTCGTCTTACCGGCGTGTCTCCTGCTGACACATCGATCAAAGTAGATCGGCGAACGGGGTCGCTTCATCATGCAGGAGACTGAAGCCATGGCATATTGTTCGCGAGGTAAGGCATGCTAATGTCAACAGTCGCAAGATATGAGAACTTACTCGTGAATCGGACTCTTCTTTCCAGGTCCCCATACCAGGATAAGCTGTTCGATTAGCACCACCTTCGCTGACTCGAGGATCGGGGACTGTACCAAGTTACTCTTGCCGTTGCCTTTGTCGACAACATTCCGTGTGTATGGTAATGTCTCAGATGGAAAGTAGTATTTCTTCCACTCCGACTCTTCCGAGGTGTATGCTTTCATCAATTCTTGCAGCTCGTTCTCGTCTACGTCATCCGAGTCTATGCCGTTGCTGGGGCCGAGCACCTTGTTGATCTCCTGCACGAGCGAACGGAAGTTATCCTCTTCAGTGTTGCGACCGATCATGGTAACGATATCGATGTTTGAGGAATATGAAATGTGGCGAGCGTGTCGTTGGTTATGATGCTATTGCAGACGGAGTTCCGACGAAGAGAGTTCGGAGCGCGGGCTTTAAATATACACAGCCTTTGTCGAGGGTAAGAGCGTTGGCTTGCCTGCCTTCAATACTGCTTGTGCAGGACTGGGCTTGCTTCATTATGTAACAATTGGCGCGTTCTGAGCTTGTGATATGTGGATCCATAGCGGTCAGCAGTTCGCCGACATGTGATGCACTTCATATGCTCAGCCAGAGTGGTGGGTGTGGTCACCGATGTGAACGCGGCTTCTATCGGGCATCGGGCTCTTCAACTTCCAAGGTTTATGAAGGCCGAGAGGAAGCATGCATAGAAGCCAAGATGGAAGGATGCTGCGTTGAACGCTAACCTTATCGGGTGGCGGTGAAAGGTACTGCCGGGAAGCCGTGCCCCGCTTCGTCATTGGCGGCGTGCGTCGCATCAAATTTCTGAACAACAACATCGCCTCTCCACGCCTGCTCAGAGCAAGTCAGGATACACAGTAATTCAAGATGGCGACCACAGTAGACAAGGCAAGTATTGAGTGCCGCAGCATACCGCCATTCCACGCGCTAACAGAGTGTGCAGATCAAGGACATCGAGGCCGAAGTAAGCCACACCCCAATACGCGACCGTAACACGATGACTTACACGAGACGTAGATGGCCAAGACCCAGAAGAACAAGGCGACGTCTTTTCATCTTGGTATGGCCTCATGGACGGATACTGCATACTGGTATGCTTATACATGAACAGGGCAACTGAAGGCAAAGCTCGCGAAGCTTAAGAGAGAGCTGCTCGAGCCTTCGTCCGGTGGCGGCGGTGGAGGTGTAGGATTCGATGTTGCTAGGACTGGTGTTGCCAGTGTTGGTTTCATTGGATTCCCCTCCGTGGGCAAGAGTACGCTCATGAGCAAATTGACCGGACAGCACTCCGAAGCCGCTGCATATGAGTTTACAACGGTGGGTTGCATACGCTTGTTACTAGAACCGTACTGACAACATACAGCTTACTACAGTACCTGGTCAAGTCATGTACAACGGAGCCAAAATCCAGATTCTCGATCTTCCCGGTATTATCCAAGGTGCGAAGGACGGTAAAGGTCGTGGACGACAGGTCATCGCCGTCGCAAAGACCTGCCATTTGATCTTCATCGTCCTAGACGTCAACAAACCGCTCACCGACAAGAGCGTTATCGAGAACGAACTGGAGGGTTTCGGTATTCGAATCAACAAGAGCCCGCCAAACATTGTGCTCAAGAAGAAGGACAAGGGAGGCATCAACATCACCGCGACGGTTCCCCTCACACATATCGACCATGGCGAAATCAAGGCGGTGCTGAACGAGTACCGAATGGCAAACGCCGACGTAGCTATTCGATGCGACGCCACGGTCGATGATTTGATTGATGTTATTGAGGCCAAGGGACGAAGCTATATCCCAGTCATCTACGCTCTGAACAAGATTGATGCTATCAGTATCGAAGAGCTCGATTTGCTATACCGCATCCCGAACGCTTGTCCCATCAGTTCCGAGCACGGGTGGAACATCGATGAGCTCCTCGAGCAGATGTGGGAGAAGCTCAATCTCGTTCGTGTTTACACCAAGCCCAAGGGCAAGATGCCGGATTACTCGGCGCCCGTGGTATTGCGATCAACAGCCTGTACCATTGAAGACTTCGTAAGTCTCCCCCTCATCTTAAACGCGACGCGCTAACCGCTCTGTAGTGTAATTCCATCCACAAGACAATTGTCGACAACTTCAAGCACGCTATTGTTTACGGGAAATCATGCAAGCATCAGCCCCAGCGTGTGGGACTTTCTCACGAGCTTGCCGACGAGGATATCGGTATGTATCCCAGTATTATCTCTCTAAATGGATGTCGTGAGCTGACGACCCGACCAGTCACTATTGTCAAGCGCTAGATAAGGTCTCGTGATTACGAGATACGACAGGCGTTATGGATCCGGTCTTGGGAAATAGTGAGTAGAGCAGAAGGGCCTTCTGGATGGCTGAACATGTCTCACTGCGATACCAATACTAGGTCGCAGCATTAAGATGACGAAGAGAGCGAGGCTTGGAGCCGATCTCGCGGCCTGGATTGGCCGAGGGCTCGTTCCAGTAGCACCGCGGACGACATCAGGACGACACTAGCACTGGGCAACGCAGCTTACGGCGCGGATCGTACCTGCCAATCGCCAATGCTCGACTGACTGGTGGCGGTCCGATACCGTCCGCAAGCTATCAATACCAGGCCTTTGCTTCCCCTGCCGAGGAGGCGTCATTCAAGACATTGCCGTCGCGGACCCTCGTGGTAATGGCGCCGCTGGAGTTATTGGAACGGGGTCAGCATGTCGCATTTGTTTTTATTCCATATTTGCTTCGGAATTTGATGGATTCAGATCAGCATTGTCTGGCCCAATTTTTGAGGCGTCGGTTTTCCTTATTGGTCTGCTAACGGGCGCAGCGGTCGACTCGGAGAAATCAGCAGGGGTTAGTTGTGCTGGCGACTCAGAGGGCACGCTGTCAGTCGGGCGCTAAATCATTATCGCTCCCGAAAGCCTGAGTGGCTGGTCGGCAAAACCTCGATTTTCCATGGGCGCGATTATTGCAGCTTTCCGAAAGCGTTTCAGCCGTCGACACTTTCTGTCTCTCCTTTATGCACAGCCGATGATTGACGTCTTGCCCCTGCCGTGGGAATCGCCACAGGCTCGCGTACCTGAGCAGCATTGAATCGGCTGCCACTGTTTCGCGCCACGAGCGTACGGCAACGGCCAGGATGTATTTCGCTGGGCGCACGAGGCGAAGCCAATATGGCGCTTCCACTCAGACCATGTCTTGTTCGGGAAGCGTCAGATTAGCCGGCTGCGACGTGCTCAGCGGTGCGAGGGCCCTGATGGGATGATCCCACCCGGCTGCCTTGACATCCCATTTGCCCTTGCTAGGAGTCAGGCGTCGAGGCATGCACTGGCGAGCTAGCCTGGCGGCCGCATAATTCTGGCCCGCGCTGTCCTAGGGGCGCATCCCCGATGAGAGACCCGCACACGCTAAGCCCAACGTCGTCGCTCGTCGCTTGGCCGAATGGCGACCAGGATCACTGTGCACACGCCAGGCTTGCCGGCAAGCTTGGGCTCGAAACAAACAGGGCTCCTCTCCCGCCAGCTGCAGTAGGCCGCGCCCGCATCGCACAGCCAGGGCCTGTTACCAGTGTCCCCAGACTTATCCTCAAGTACGCGCTGCAGGCCCGCCGCGCCAGGCTTTCCCTGCAGTTTCAATTCTCCATCTAAGGCCATTGCTTTGCCGCGCTGCTTTATACCTATATGTTTTGACCTCTGTCATACCCAGCGCCTTTTGTCAGCGCTACCCCCGCTACTGCGGTACATTGACTTGTCACTGTTTCGCCTCAGGAACCAAAATCTCGTCTCATGCATGTATGCGCTCGGCCGCTCTGAGGTCACCCACGCCGCCTAGGTATAGCAACACCACGGTGCAGGTGCATATGCCCGTCTGGCACCCTACTTCTGCTCCGCACCCAACACGGACACTCGTTCCCACACTCGCACGGATACACCACTCCAATATCTACTGCCTTCGACATGAGCCAGTTGCAAATGGATCACGACCACCACCATCACCACCACCAGGAACCTTTCGAGGATCACCATTCTGGATGGCATGGCGATAATGGATACAACCCACACCATCAGTCTCCAGTCCAAGACTTTAATGGCTTCAACGGCTTTGCACCGCTCCCGATGGAGCCCATCTACGGGAACGGCATGCATCCACCCCACCAAACTCATCCGACACCTAGGACTACGCATCCACAGCTGCAGCCTCTGATCATGCCGCAGATGCCGCAATGGCCGAGCATGCTGACCAGCCAGTCGACTTACCAAGCTTCACTGTTCCCCTCAGCCCCACCACCGATAACGCCGGCATCAGCAACGCCAGTCTCAGCGAGCTCAACACATTCCCGCACTTCGTCGACACCACGGAAGACTCTTACAGACTCGGACCGCAGACGCATGTGCCAATACCATGAAGAAAATCCCACTGTCAAGCAAACGGAAATTGGAGGTATGCCAGCACCACGCACCAGACTCACATGGATCTTTTACTAACGATATCCTAGCAATGTTTGGCGTAGAGCGAAGGTACCACTGCATACCCTGCATGTCTCTTCCCGTGCTGACAGTCTTGTAGTACCGTTTCGAAAGTGTTGCGCCAGAAGGAGAAGTACTTGTACCAGGACGATGGTAGCCGATCACCCATAAAAAGGTCGAAAGGCAAATTCCCGGATATCGAACGTGCCTTGTCGAATTGGGCACGAAACCATCAAAAACAGGGAGCACAGCTGTCAGATGCTGCGATCCGAGAGAAGGCCCGCTTCTTCGCTCAGACCGTTGGCAACTCAGAGAGCCACCTCAAGGTAAACAGTGCGAGCTGGTTGGAAAAGTTCAAGCAAAAGAATCATCTCAGTGGTGCAAGGTCACGAAAGACTTCGATAGCAGAAGAGTCGGAGGGGACTTCGAATCCGCCATCCAATGTGCATACCCCGGGGGCCATCTCGCCTACCTCACCTGGCGGGGTATCTCCAGCGACAACGACCATGACAGCGAAGAAGAGTCAGGAAAATCTTAAGACAGAAAGCCCCGACACATACGACTTTTCGAACCATCGCCGACCCTTCCATTCACAGAGCAGTACATCGTTGTCAAGCGTCTTCACGGATACAGCCACAAGCCCCACGTCGCTTTCTTCCCCCTTCTTCACGCCTGATTCAGCATGCGGCCCGAGTCCATTCATGGGAAGCCGCCAGCCTGCGAATGGACAGCCAGGGAACAACAACTTCCAAAGGCCCCGAAGCCAAACCTTCCCCATGCTTGTTGGTGTTGAGCAGTACATGTCACCTCCGGGCTCAACTGACGATATCACCCCAAAGTACGTTAGCAGCGGTGCACTTGACTCGCCCATGAACGAGATGCCTGGTACACTGCCAGTCATTGACGAAGGAATGTCGCTTTCGCCTACCCAGATGCCCAACTCGATGCAGCCCCCTCCTCTACCAGGTACCATCGACGACAAAGGCTCATCAGCCGACTCCTCGCCCATCACACCGTCCCAAGAAGAAGCTGCACGCGCTCTCGAGCTCGTCATGACCTTCTTCCAGTCACAGAACGCCGGCTTCGTCGTGGAGCCCCAGGAGTATGTCACCATTGGCAAGCTGATGGAGAAGCTACGAATCAAGCGCAGCTCCGAGAGCCTTCCTTCCGAGATGCGACGTGTGTCAGAGCCCAACTTCACCACGGCCAAGCTCGAAAGCGTCGACGCGATCCATTAGCGAATTGGACATGTCACTCATCCAAGGGCCTGTGACGCCTGTCACAGCACGTAACGCTGACGACCACTTTCCTTTGTGGAACAAGCTTCCTGAATCGCTTGGGTTTGGAGTAGCAAGACTGTGCAACACTTGCGAGCTAGAACACCGGGATCAGGGACATACACACACGGCTAGCATTCTGCATTACAGTCACCGTTTGGATTTTCTTTCATTGCCGCATCTTGCCGCATTCTCGCATCAGCATCATTAGCATGGCTTCTATTTCTCACTACTCCTTCATTGACTTTCATTTCCCATCTTCCTATTCCCTTGCTCCACGAACCACTATACCCCCCTCTAGCAGCGCACAGTAACCTGACTGTTTTCGACTTTATCCCCTTACCTAAAACGAAGACTGTATCCGCCCACGCGGGCCAATATTCTGTACGCTTCTATTCGCTGCTTTCAAACGTTCCATTTACATTTGCCTGGCGGCCCTCATACGTTGCACTGAGTCTGAAACGGCGCGATGGGCCTCGTACGCACTGCTGTGCACCTATATGTAGCTTCTAATATAGTTACCGACCCTTGCCGCAAGACCGGCCTAACGAAAGGGTCAATCACGCTTGAAATGCGATTAATGCTCAATCCAACGTGCCATACGATTGTGCGTCTGATGTCACTAGTCAGTTTCGTCCGATCTCAATCTGATCATGGTCAGACTCAGCCTAGTTTTGGTGGAGCACCACTGACACTTCACTGATCGGCAAAAGTCTGGCTCATGAACGGCTGGTACTTGCCGCTTTAAGCCCCCGTGACGGAGCTTTCGGCATCGCATTGCAACACCGTTATAGCAACGATGTGCAACAAACTTTGGCATAGCCCGCCGAAAAACAACACTGAATTTCGGAAAATACCTTGCCGACAGACATGCCGATCGCAAGGAAAAGCAGCATTCGTTCGTTCTGGCTTTCCGCATCCTGGACACGGCCAAAACGTAAATTGCATGTGAGACTTGCAGGTTCAGTCGGCACCAGTTGGCCCCCTTCCCCGCCTTTGCACGAAGCTCGGACACCTTTTGACCTGGCGCACCTTGCACATCCTTGATACATCACAAAAGTACATATATACATATCCAGATACATCGCTTGAAGCGATCGCAATGCATAACGATCGATGACGAGGCTCGTATACGAGGAAGACAGATCCTCAAACTGTTGAGCCTGATCTAGATGCCCGCAAGCGTGAGACATCTGGTATCCCGTCTCCCCGCGCGCGCACCATACTCAGCTGGAAAGTTTGCGCATTTGGTTCGTGTCAAAGGGCTGTCCCGATCTGGATCAGGGATGAGACGAGCGCGAGCTTGGAGAAGCGAGGGATTGGCGTTGGTACGGGCTTTCTTTGCTCAGTAAAGTGGTTTCGGCAGCGCAATCGACGCAAGGCGCCCTAGGGCTCCGTCATGCCGCGGGGGCGCACGCACTGGACTCAGCTCTTTGCTGCCCTGCTGGGCTGGATAGGGAGCTTGGGCCTTACGGTCGTCTCTGCAGCGAAGCTCGAGTTTCCCTAAACCCTGGAGCGAGTCGTGTTTGGGGCTCTTGCTGTTCCGTACTGGATTAGTTGCAGCTTCCTTCGTTTTCGGTTTCCCTTGCTCAATCATGACGAACATAGCTGTAGCACATAGAGTACAATCCACGCTTCCGCGGGTGAAGCAAAAGTTGGGCAGTGTTTTGGAAACCAGTTTACTTATTTCACAAAGCCGTTACTTTTGCATTACGGGTATTATGCAGCCCGTTTAACTTCACCCTGCGTTCCGCGGCGCCAAAAAGCAAAAAGGTGAGCAGTCCAGCGCCACTTTAGTTCGTCCTCTCTAGCCGCAAGAAGAAGCAAGAAAGGTAAATGTCGTCGGTGTTCCCCACCACCATATCTTGGGCATCCTTGCAGTGACACTCTCTTTTCTTATCCCGCGGATGATGGACTGTTCGTTTTGTCCTTGCTTCTTCCTTTTCGCTGCAACACATTACTGTTCGGTACAGTACCGGTTCGGTCCGCAGCCGAGCCCGTTCACTGGCTCACACGTTGTCCAAATGCCGGATGTACTTCCCTCGCAGGTTGAAGCTGCAGTACATAGCCTTGTACATTGTGCAGCTCTATCAAAGAAAAGAAAATGAGTACAAGGGGGCCTTGGATGACAGCTAAAAACGCGTGTTACGTAGCTGTCAAAGTAAATAAGCAAAGGTAGTAACAGTAGATGAGGGGACGCGCAATGGGGCAAATCTGTACTTGGTGTCGCAGTCCGACTTGGTTCGGCCCTTTTCTCGCTCATGTCGTTAGCTCGCGGTGTTGCGCGCAATGGCTAGACCGTCGTGAGCATCAAATCGCGAACACGCAATCGCAGCGCCCCCCATCGATCGGTGAAGGCCTGCGTTACCGTCCCTTGAACCCCCTGACCATTGGCAAATCCAAGGAAAGAGGCCGACAGGTTCGTAGTACCTTTGTATTCGGGCCTACGTCAAGCAGTGGTGGCAGGTTGTAGCGCAAGAGGCTAGGAAACCTACACCCGAAAGTCAATTATCGCGTTAGATTGCTAGCTCTCGCCCTTGTCTCCATCGCAATTCAAAGATAATGTTGGGCTAGTCCGCCAATGGTGAAGAGGCTGAGAGCGTTCCGGTGACCTTTAATTTTTGCCCTAGCATGTAATGCACAATGTGCTGGCGATAAGCATCGAAAAGTTCATTACGATGTTCGCGGTGCTAGGTCATGCGGTACCCTGCATTAGATCGTCCACGTGATTGATATCTGATGCTGTGTAACACGGTACGGAACCGGCTAAGCAAGAGAACAAGAATGTCGAGGTACAGAAGTGGCCACCGAAACCCCTTCGTGTGAGGTGCTCCCGACAACGTTGCCTGAGCACGCGTACTTCCAGGTTACTTCTGAAATCATTCATGGCATTGCGGGCCGTTGTTCGCACCGCTTGTTCGCCCTGAGGCTTGTGTCACGTGCCGTTTGATGGGCTGAGGCCGGTGTATCGTTTTTTTGACCTCGCAGCTGACAAGTCTGAGCAACGCTGGTTTGCACGATAGGACATCGAATACACCTTCGCATCGCTGTGTACAAGCGACAGTACGACGCACTCACCCGTCATTGACGTACCCGTCCCGTCAATCTTGCACTCCCTGTCAGACGCACACATCCGTTGCTCCAGAAATGTTCTTCGATTCCCAACAACGGGTCTTCGCATGAACTGGTGTCGCAAATACCTTTGTTGGCGAATGGATCACGACTCAGGATGATGTGAGAATGGAAGCGGGATATACAGCTCGCCTCGATGATGATTGCCAATTGGCGTCATTCAGCGATCATTGTCATGCGCTGCGCAGCAAGCGAACGTCTCGAATTTTCCCTATCCCGAAAATTCAGGATTGGCGAACGACTCAAACCGCAGCCGCGTACGCCGACTGTTCCAGAGTGGCTGAGGTGAGTCTGCCGTACGCCTCACTATTGAGTCTTCATGCCTTGCGCAGGATGACGATAGTTTGGTAGGATATAGTGATTGCCCACTACGGGTGATGTTTTGCATGTTCGAGTCAATCCCACCCGCTGCCGTACCTGCACTAACGTTCCGGGCTCTTTAACCGTTGAAACATGGGTCGATGTTCGCAACATTGATGCCCATGACAGCCCCTGATGAGCACTCGCTTGACTCCAAACCATGGTAGATGCTGGATCGCCGGTGCTGGGATCATGGGCATTGTGCCTGGGATCCTGATGCGCTTGCCCCGGACCCCGTGCGGTTCAGGAACAGGCGATGTCGCATCTTGTCAAATGCTGGACGGCGACTATTACTAGGATCATGACTTTCCGTGTTGCGCATCCCGCGGCTTCGCGAACCAGGTCCCTGTAGGGGTTCCCTCGTTACGCCCTGAAGTTCGAGGAATTAAAGTTTCAACGGTCATCCGCGCCGAGTCAGGCAAGGGCCAGCATCACCAACACTGACGTCTTGACACTTCGGCCGGCATAATCGGCGACCTGAATCCTACGCACGCGCCCACAAAGCGCGCGTTATTCGATAGGATCAGGATGGGTTTTGTTCGAGATGCAGGACAACTGTGCCGCAGAGGCAGAGAGAAGGCTGACTCGATCGCTGGTTATGTTCCGCGTAGTTGCTGCCCAACCGATTTTTGAAACACGTTAGCGGCAGGCTGTTCAGGAACGTGTTGCCAGGAACCGCAACCCTTGCGGAAGCGATAAGAGATAGACGGCTACGGGCTGAAGGCGCATGCGGGGTAACTTCTCTCGACGCTTTAGACTTCTCAGCCCACCCTCGCTTCTGCGATGTTCACTCACTGAAACCCCACGGTTGATACATCGCCTAAGTGAGGCTGAGTTATATTTGACTCTGGAACAAGGGTTCACGGCGTAGCCGAAGAGGAGCGCGGCGGTAAATGTGATCCGCAGGCAGAAACTCCAAGGCGCTCTGAACCAGAACCTTTGTTATCTCGCTAGGCGGGGCTTGATTGCTGATTGTATGAAGGTGCGGGGCTTAGACGAGCTCATCTCGATACGTGAAGGTGTGGTGAAGCTCGGAACGCTACGTTAGATAACCAGGGAAGATGCAACGTCGTCTACAGTCCTTGACTCTCTTCAGGATCATGCGATAGTACTGCATCGTGAGCTCGCATCGTAACTGCGACGGAGCTGGGCACACAGTCGTCTCGTATTCGATTAGTTGAATTTATGTACCATGGCACGCCCTGACAACGCATGTCGCTTGTCGTCCAATATCTACCTTTAAGGCTCCCGGTTGTATGCATTTTATCCCCGCGCAGATGTACAGATGACACGGACCGTCGCGCTCACCGAGCGACATGCAGGTTGTTCAAGGCCCTCATTCGCAGTAAATCTGCGTGAGTGGTGTCTTCCCTGCCGCATACCAACACTACCAAGATTGAGTGCTGCAGCAATCATGGTAAAGCAGCTCGGACTAAGCGATGGCTTGGTGGAAGACGTGCACGGTGGGGCACCTCGTGGTTCATTCTTTGTAGTTTCCGTCCGGCAATATCCCGAATAGTCAGGTGCTCGCCACGGCATGCAGCCAGCCCGGAGTCTGGATGCCATGTGCCTCAACAATTTTCTTAGGGAATTTTTTGATTGGTCGATACCCCTCTTTTACGGTCAGCGGTGTACCTTTCCCACCACACTTTGCTACGAGCGCACTATGAGTTGGTATACGTGGAAGTGCACGAAGCTGCAGTTTCGCCGCTTTAGTGAGTTGCCTTATGCTGGTTTGATGGAAGTATGTATGCGATACAAGGATTGGAGTTCACCCTCGTCGAACGGGGTATGAACGGCGAAGGTGACTGCGCGACGGGCCGTGCCCAGCAGCGTTCGAGTATCTGGCGGTGAAAGTTCGTAATGTATGAGGTTCTAACTTTCGGAAGCATGAGAACAGCATCAGCTAATGCGCTCCTCCAACAGATCCTTTACGCCTTGTTCTCCCAACTCCGGAAACAGGCGCAGAACAATCAGCTCAACGATCTGAAAGACGAGGTGCTTGTTGAGATAAGCGTCATCGAGACAGTCTAGTGTGTTTGCGATCTGTCGAACCTGCTCATCGCGCTCGTAGCTCGCAAAGAAAGCGGCTGCTACTTTCGGTGGTACTAAGTCAAGTAGTCTGGCGGCACAGCAGCGCTTGATCTCCTTGATTTCCTCATACGTTGGAATCTGACGTGGGGGCCCGAGCGCGTTGTTAGGGAAGAGTGTTGCACGAAGAGTCCGAAGCGCCACGGGAAGGAAAGCGGGGTTCAAGATCTGCGTGTGGAAAGTATGAGCGAGGAATCTGCAATCGCGACTGGTTAGCAGATGAGACTTGGATATGACTAGATTGACTGGTGCGAGATAGGCAGGACGGGTGCGGTAGGAGTTCGACGGATGAAGGAGTCCGCGGGGCGTTCAGCTGGTGACCGCGAATGATGATGTCTGCGGTAGCAGGCCCGGAGCATCGGACGAGAATCGAGTCGAATTGTTGACGCGGCCCATAAAGTGAGGCGCACGCCCATAGCAAGCGAGATTGATGGTCATGCCACTATGCAACTTAAAGCAGGATGTCGTCGTGATGGATTGAAAAAGCCATTCCCAATCTTTCGGGAACAGCATCATTCGCCGACTGTTTCAATGCGCTGCTCAAACAAACTAAGACCATATTGGAGTCCGAGGAGTACGTGCAGGATCCTCAACAGGATGACGGTAGCGATGAAGACCGAAGAATGAGGCGTAATCAGCTGTTGGCGGGATTCATGGTAGGGCCAGAGTTTGTGGCCAATGTCGTGCTCGAACTCTGTACGGCCAGTCCCGAGAGGGACGACGGCCGGACGGTGTGAGCAGATCAACCGGCGCGTAAGCGGCCCTTCCACAAGAGCTAGCATCGTGATGACGGCTCAGGGAACAAAAGCCCTTCGCACGACCCGCAGTATTCTGTGGTCGCTGATGAGAGGCGCAGCACCAGGATTGGTCCGACCTTGATGCAGGCATCGTGTGGTCGCTCATGGTGTTGACAATAGCGACGGCCTAGAGTGTGCCAAGCCTCCTTGTCCGAAACGTGTCGAGTTGCCGCCCGGAACGGGTGCCGAGGCTTGCATAAAGCGGTGCGCCACGACAGGGTTGTTTTGGTGTGTGAGCCTGCGGGCCGTCGCATTCGCTGAAGCGAAGTCAAGTGACTTGAATCGTATGCGGAGCTATCTCATCCTGCGTCGCACGGTGCCACAGGGATTGACCAGCTAGCCAACCAGGGGATGCGAGTGAAGAAAGAGATATTATCGTAACTTACCTGTCCAATACACCATTGGTTTCACCCACCCTACCTGGGCCGAGCAGTGCTCCACGATGGAGCATGGAGATGAAGCCCAACAGCCAAGGCATGCGGACATCTAACTCGGCAAGTTGCGCTACACAGCTCCACAGGCTCATGCTTACTACAGGCCGTTTGGCCTCCAACGGGCGCCTGGAAGCCATCTTTTCCGCTTCCAGTGCTTGCGATTGATTGGCTGCTTCTGCAGATGACTGCTCGGTTGTGGCAGATCTCAACGGAAGGGAAGATAATGTCGCAAGACTCAAGACCACCGCGCGCACCGCAGTAAACGCCAAAAAAGCGTATTGGATGATCGCCCAGAGTACACCCGAGATGTATAAGGCCGATGTCTTGTGACGACGCTGGCCGGCGTCCAGTGGCCCTTTTGGACTAATTTCTGACCCTTGATGCGTTGACAGCAGCCCGTAACGCTCAAGACGGGTTAACGACTGCTCCGCATCGGCATCGTCCGATTGGGGATCCTTCTCTTTCGCAGCATCGGTCTGTAAAACCTCAGCTATTCTTGTGATGCCCTCCCAGAGCACCCACCCTTCACAGGCTTTTCCGCTAATGCCGTTTCCAAGGATCATCTCTGCGAATATTTCGCCTACCAGGGCGCGTAGACACCCATTTTTCAAGTCTTCTGTCGGTAGCAACAGGGCTAGCACGCCATGAATGAGTAGTTGGCGCCACGCCGACTCGCTTTCCCGCTGTTCAAGGACTGTCGCCGGAACATCATCGGTAGGCACAGGTGATAGTGCAGGGTGCGGGTGGAGCGTATGATATATCAGACGAGGATCTGATACTAGTGAAATTGACGAGGCGGCTTGAGTCTTCGCTATTCGGAATGCTGGCAGGGAAGAATTAGACAAACTTCATCGACAGTCCAAATTGAAATAACCTACAGGTCAGGTGGGCTTGGAGTAGCTCAGGTATCTCATCTAGCAATAGTGATTCGAGATCGACTTTCCTGAGGCGCTGCTCCAGACCTCGCGTACAATGAGCGATAATCTGGATCACTTCGTTGACAAATACTTGATCGGGAGTTATCTTCGAGTACCACGTCTGTACAAACTCCTTGATGATAACAGAGATGATGCCGTATAGTTGAAGATCGACCTCGTTTGAGCTCGTCAAGGGTGGCAATACGTCTTCAATTGGACGAGGTGTACTGCGTCCTTTCTCGCCATTGCCAAGTAGCACATTGTGGGAGCAGAGAGTGCGTCGAATGAATGCTGCCGTGGATTTATCCGAGGTAGTATCTAATTGAGGTTTCTGTGTGTCTGCTGAGCGTGTTGCAGCCACCACACGGGAGTGATTTTGCACGTTGGTCCCCGTGGCTCCCGGGGTCGACGATGCTGAGGCCTGGTAGCTCGGTGGCTGCGCAAGAGGGACGTCTGGATCCCGGTTCGTACTCTCTGTCATTGCAACGTGATGTTCATCATTGCCAACACCGAATGTAGTTTTCGACACGTGATAGCGCGCTGCGACACGGTTCGAGATGAATGTCGTCGTGGAGTTGATACTGGCGAAGGAGCGATGACGACAGAATGTCAACCACGGTCGGGATTAGCCGAGCCTTGGCGCGTTCCTCTTTGTGACGCGCGCCGCGTCGGTCATCGCACAGCACCAGCCTTCTGAAAACCAAACCTCACAGCACCACTTACTCTCCCGATCAAGATGGCAGCATTAAGTCCCGAATGTACGTAGTGCGGCAGTTCTTCGGCTCGTTCTAACGTCTGCGACAGCGGCGATAATCGACGTGGAAGCTCAACTGAAAGACATCGTGCAAAACCTCTATAACCTCATTGTGCAAGCGTACGACCACCATGGAAGCAAGACGCAGGAGGCCATAAGGCGGGAGATGTATGCGATAGCTACACCTCGCGTATAAGCTTTTGAGGCTAACCGTACCGTAGCCAGTCGCTCGTTCAGAACCTGGTGAAATTGTCGAGGACGGCACCGTCCGTGAACATCAACATTCCTCCAGAGGTCATGTCCTACGTTGAGAACTCCAGGAACCCAGATATCTTCACGCGCGAATTTGTTGAGACCGTGCAGCGAATGAACCAGATGTTGTACGGTCGCGTCGACGCATACCGAGCGCTTCAAGAACAACTCGCCCTGCACGTCTCGAGCGCTATTCCAGAACTCAAAGAGGACGTGACCTCTGTTGTCGAGTCTACAGGCGGCAAGATGCGCGTCTAGGCTCATTACCTTCACTAGACCCAGGTGAATACCTTAAGCGGATTCAAAGTAGCTAAGCAATCACAATATGGATGCTGGAACAGCACGGACACATGCGACGACCGAACTCAGATCACGGAACATACCAACGAGTACCACATAGCCAATACATTACGGGCGGTGATAGTTACGACATGGTTGGTATACGGATCAACACTCCGACAGGTGGGGAAGTGCATCAATGAATGCGACCTCGTCCAGATGCTTGGTCAGTCAACTCCGACAATACTCGGAGTAGCATTGGATGCTTCAGACATGGAGGAGATCCCCACAAAACACGAATGAAGATGTCGTTGTAGATGCTGTGCTCTTTTGGGAAAAGATATTGGCAGGGATTGCATTATCCAACACGTTACAACGAGCTTACTTCTCAGAAGGAACAACAACACTCTCAATCTACTAGATTTGATTGCGACTATCTCCATGCGTCCGTCACATCCGGCTGAGCCACATTGCATCCCTTGCTTCTGCTACCGATTTAGCATGGCGCGATGCTTCCTCTAGACGGCTGTTACACAGGGCATTTCATTGATGTGCCGGGTTTAAACTATGTTTCATTACATCGCATTCGTCTCTAGCATTCTGCGTCATGTCTCTGTCCATTATATTGTGCGACGAAGGATCTCGTACGACGTAAACCTTCGGCATCCTTGCATAACAGCACACAATCTCGCAGTGCCCAAAACGATGCTAGTTCTCGCTGATCCCGGGCACTCTTTGTGAAGATCTCGGCGCTATTGAATGTCGGGCACTTCATCGCTCACATTCAGCGTTCCTTCAGATCCACTTCGGTTCTTTGTCATACTTACAAACCGTGTCTTCATATGAGACCTATGTTAATATGTGAAGCAAGTCTCTATTACGAACCAACATATGGGTGCTAAATTTAGTATAACTGCAGCGGTGCGACAATGGGTGTTGGAACTCTCGGTCCGATGGAGATGTCATGCGTTGTGTTGACAGTCTACACGACTCGCTCGGCCGAGTTTCGCGTATAGCCTGACCATAGCAGTTCTTTCCAGGAAGCTATAGCGATACAATAACATGTGAAGGTAGCCGCTCACATCATCCGCTCTGCTCACGTACCGACCTTGGTTGGACGCAGTTCTAGTGAGATCGAGGATTTGTTGCTAACAGCAACAGTAATCGGCCACCATTATCAAGTAACAACGTAACACTGGTTGGAATACGCCGACCTAAAGCTTTGCCAAAGTTATTAATTCGTGCGAGGTGCGCACGCAACTTCACAATCTCTGTCAATTATCTCATTGACGCAGGTGCATCCTGATGAAGATGTATATGCTTCAAAACCCTCTTGGTGACATTTGCATGTCAATTCCCATCCTTCACCTTACTCTGATCAATTTACTGCACCCAAGTTTGGACACGATGTGAAGCAACGCGGAGCTATCACTGAACGGGAAAGAGGCTGCCGTTGAATCTAGATGAAGAGCTCCTGCAAACGCTTGTATGAGTTCTTCTGTAAATATCCGCGTGGTTGGTCATTCACTGTCTGATTTTGGATCACGACACGCAAGCTTCACCATTCACTACTTAGCAAACAAACCGCCTGTGACATCACACGCATACAAACACTGTAGCTCCCTTATACACGGTTGCACCTGCTCTCTGGATTGATAGAGTCCTTTATCGCCCCTGTGCTTTACACTACGCACTCACTAGCAGTCCAAGATTCTTCAACCCGCTTGGCCCGCAAACGCTCCATACACTAGCGAACAGACAAACAAACTGATCACGCCATAGTTTAGTCAACCAGCTTCCAGAAAGAGTTGAAGGCCAACATGACGTCGTTCTTCTCCTGGCCAGTTGCTCCGACATGGACATCCAGATGCCAGAATGCAGCGCCGCTCTTGTCATCACCAGCGCCAGCGACCGCATCAAGTGTTGCGCATGAGCCTTGCGACTCCCCAAATGCATTCGATCGTCCAGAAATCCAACGGCTCATATCATGGGAGATCGTCCCTTGTCTACATCGCCTACCGCCTTCCCCTGTTCCCAGCCGTTCACCAAGCCCCGACCCCTCTCTCTCGGATCAACAATCTTCATCAACCATTGCTAACGCAGAGTCTTCAGAGGCGAGGCCAGAGCTCTCATCATCTGACTCCTGTCCCCAAATGAGCACTTCCTGGATATCCTTCGAAGAGATAACGCACACTGAAGCCGCCTACCCTCCTGAATACACAATACCCTTTGAGTTTGATACAGAAGCTTTTCCTCCTCATGCACATCTCTTTCCTTCCTCACCAAACGGCACATGGCGTAATGAGTCCGTCCACGCTTTGACACGTCCTACAGCTGTTGATTACGCAGCGCTGTATGCAAAACTATGTACATTGGCCGAGGAAGCAACGGATGAGTTCGCTGCAAGAGTAAACCGAGCGTTCGAAGGTAGGGACGTACCGGCAATGCACGACAAGGTCATGCAGATCTTTCCTTCGGTCTCAATGCCGGATATGAGAGATATCGAGAAGGCTATAGACACTGGGTGTGACTGGGGAGAGGAACTGTTTGAACAGAGAGGACGGAGGAGGACTAGAAGGTGGCGGTAAGTGGAGCGTAGGCAGAAGTTCGAAAGGAAAAGGTGGTTCATAACCACCTTGTTCACAAGATGAAATTGCGGCATCCGGAAGGGTAGTGAAGCTAAATATTGTATTACATCAAGTTATCTTTAATGCCTGACCGGCCTTTTGAAAGAAACGAACATTAGTCTAACGAATCAGCATCGTGGCCGTCATTAACCCCCTCGCTAAATCAACAGTTTTGTCTATACCGTAGCCGTACCAAAGTCGGTCTAGTCCTCTCGGTGAAGACTACCTGCCCGTTGACGCATGGCAGAGTGCGGGTGCGCAGCCTCTTCCTCGTCTCGGGGACCACCAGCACCGCCCTCCATAGGACCTCCAGCCTGCATGCCACTCGGTGTTCCGCCAAAGCTGACCAATACAGACGGGTTGTCTGCCGTCAGGGCGTCCAATACGTCCAACTCGTGTGCTGTGAACCATTTCGGCATCAAGAATGTGCGTAGCGGGATGAGGGCGATGATGAGGACCGGAAAGCCGATAGCGGCGATGGTTTGCGAAATGGCGACTGTGCATGCGACACCAAGAATCTGAAGACCGATGAAAAGCCGAATCTTGTTGCGTGAGACGCGGTTGAGCGGGTTATCGCGCTGGATAAAGCGTTTCTCTGACACGAGGTAGAGCGCCTTGCTGACAATGCCGTTGGATTCTATGGAGCCCCACTATGAAGAGATTAGCATATCGTGTCGAGCTTGAAGATGGAACAACGCGTACACCGACGACGAAGAACACGCCAGCAAAGACTGCTGCGGGCATAGTGTGTAGTACGATAAGTAAGGGACCGGTCATGGTACCCCAGATGGCCATACCCATCAAGAAATGACTGATACGCTGCTCGACAACAGCAGTAGCCTTGACAAATGGCTTGCGGATCTCACCACCGTCTTCCGTTTTGGTGATCTCCAGCCTAGTTTCGTAAACGGTCAAAGAGTCTGTGTGTACGGGTGCTTGCGGAACCAGGCCGTTGGGAAGTGGAAGGCCGATGACGCCACCAACAAAGCATGTGCAGCCGAGAAGGAAGAAGTCCCAGTGAAAACCAGCGGGCTTTTTGAGAGGGTACTGGCGGGCCTGTGCTGTGAGTGATGACACATTCTATGATCAAGGGTTAGCGTTCGCCGATGCTAGAAGACGTGTATGACTTACGTGGTCGTAGTAGAACAACAGCATCATCAAGAAGCCAAATGGCAAAGCCACAAATACCCACTTGACGTCAAGATTCCAGAAGTCGATTACCCAGTTTCTATCCTGCGTCGGTGCAAAGGCCTTGCCGATAGGCACTCGGTATAGCCCAGTCTCCTCCAGACGTCCAGGAATATGCGAGAAACCGACCCAAAACAGGGTAGGGAAGACGAAGGAGTAATCGGCGATAATGCTACGAATGCCTGGGGTAAACACCGTACTGTTACCAAGCTTCTCGAGGCCGTAGACAGAGCCGAAGTAACATATCGCAATGACGATGGAGAGGTAGCCACCGTCAAACCCGGATTCTTGGAACAGATATACTAGCTCCTCAACACCCTTAACTGAACGCAGGTCAATATCGTGTCTTGAGATGGCCAGTGACTAGATACATACCACAGTAGATAATTCCAACATACATGCCGAACGTCTCACTCGAGAAGTCAGTGACATAGGCCATGTAGTCGCTGAAGTTTCCGAAGGCTACGATCCAATGAAAGATGGCAGCCCAAATTCCAACCCAGGCGGTAAATGCTGGATAAATGGAAGGGTCATATTGGGTAACAATGTCGTAGATGGTGTAGTTGAAGAGCGCGATCAGACCAGTGACTCCTACGATGGTGAGGGGTTGGCACGCGAGCAAACTAAACACCATGGCTGCTAATGCGGACGAAAAGAGGGCTTCATTGATGCCAAAGAACCCGCCCGTTCGACGGTACATGTCGAGCGTGAACGCAATGGCAGGTAATACGCTGTACTGGTCAGTAAAAACTCGATCGTCTATCGAGATAAACTTACTTTACGAAGTACATGCGAACTGTACTGGCGAAAGCCCTGTACGTGAGCGCATCGGTTATGTCGCTCCAGTAATAAGGTAGTCTCCTCTTGACATCGTGATACATGCCGCGACCAGGTTGGAGAATGCGCCATCTCCGCCATCCTCTCGCGCCTTGGAAGGTGTACGATTCGTGTGTTGCGGTCCTCTCTAGTATCTCCTTGCTGTTCGAATTTGTCGCGTCTGGCGAATCCATGATGACGGATATGCAAGTTGAATGGACTACAAACGGGCAATGGTTGCGAAGCCGCAGAAACTAAAGCTGAAGGAAATCGATCGACGCAATAGATGTGTGCATAGTTTGATCCGGACCCTGAGCATCTAGTCTATATACGCGGAATCAAGTCCAATTACAGAAGCCGGCGCACTACGGCCCCAATGTCATAGCTAAGCTTGGCATCTGTGGAGATCGAGGGTTTGCCATCGATGGGCGGACTGCTTGTGCGCGGAAGGAGACATGATGATGATGCTTACCTAGGTAGCATGAAGACATTAGACAAAGGCGGATGCTTGTCTTGAACGACAGCCTATGCGCTTCCGACAGGATTTCGTTGTGGTTGTTCGCGATAAGCATGTTCATTGTTGAGACACGTTCGGTTGTTTGGTGACGTCTGCCGGAGTAGAGGCCTCGCGCACGTGGTTAGCGTGGCCGTTAGTTCCCGTGCCATGCTGAGGAAGGTCGCCATCAGCCCTGTCGCCTGCGGCTTTTTTCGGTCTGCTACTACTACTGCGTCTATTCCAGCCCGTTTTTTTCGGTCTGCCCAGGCATCATCGAGCAGCAACTTCCATGGTCTGGGTCAACGTGCACGTTGCAACCCAAACTCCGCAACCACGACCATCGTCTGCATGGCACCGTGCAGCTGTGACATTACTTCCAATTGGTTCAGACGTCTGTACCACACCAAAATGACGTACATGGCTCGCCGAGCGTATGACTGACGCCAAGCGCCATACCGCACGCGGTCAAGAGCGTTTCCATTCCACCCCGGTATCTTTCACAGCTGCTTGAGCAGAATTTCCATCAGCATCGTCACGTTTCCGCGCGCTCCTATTGCAGCATATAGAAAGAGGTGAACAGTGTCGCGACATTGCGACATTCGATCCGGGTAGACTTCGGACAATTTGTTCAGCCCATGAACAATTCACCCATCTTCCATCACCTCACGTCTGTAGCGAGTTTTGTTTCGCATCCTGAGGTATTTCTATGGTACGGAGATACCTCCACTGTAAAACTTCTAGTGGGCATCGTGGTAGGTTTTGAATATATCACCCACCTACCCGCGCAATGCTCAAGCTTCTTAGCGTCCGGTGTCAACTCCACAGGCTTAATTAATCCACCGGAGTATTATCGATATACTTCCTTAAGATGAACGCCCTCCAGGACGTCGACGGGCTTTCAGAATGCATCGGCAAGGCTATCCAAGAACATCTCGCTAGGTTCAACATCAACATTGCATGGCCGCAGCTCGATAACCTGGATCATCCCATCCTCCGTGTCGAAGCCTTTCTTGAGGAAGCCGATGCCACCCATGCAGCCAGAGCGCAGTCCGAAAGGATCGCATCGGTAAGTTGATGTTCCCACCACACTCAATGCCAATGTGCAGTAGCGTGTTCTTACACGTCCGCAGAGAACCGTCGATCTGGCGGGCATGAGGACGCCAGCCCCCACGGCCAGCCCAGCCGCGATGGATCTTCAGAACTATGATGAGACCTCGTCTATGGATGAGTCTTATTCGCGGGACGAGTCATCGTCGTCGGTACAACAACCCCGCGAGGCCCGCAGGAAAGGCACTGGCGGTCTGAGGGTGTCGCACACTCAGTCATCGTTTCAAGAAGATCTGAGCGAACACCAACGGCAAATGCAGGTCGATAGCCGCAGCTTCCCAAAGCGGAAGAAGGTGTGTGAACTCTCCTAGGCGACGTCGCTCTCTCAGGCACGCCAACCTAGGGAAAAACTGAACAGCCTGGAGCCTACGTTGACGTCGGGTTACCTACTTTGCAAGTTTTCGTCTCAACGTAGGCTCCAGGGTGTTCCGTTTTTTCTAGGTTGGCGTGCAGGTACTCGCTGGACCCTCAGTGGGGGAACGAGTGGGCTGCTTTTTCGTGCACAAAAATACGTGATGCGCATATGCTCGCCCATCTTTCTTGAAATAGCTGACCATTTCCAGGTAGCATCGGAGAAGTTTGTCTTCCAACCGTCCACTCTGGACAAACTCATCATCGGCATCTGGGAGCAAGTACACAGCACGCTCAACCTCGACCCGAAAGCGATCTTTGAACAGTTCCAAGTAACGCCCAATGGATCCTCCATGAGCATGGGCATGGTCGGCCATGCGCATACCGACGAAACACCTTCCGCCATGGCAGTACTCAACAACGCTCCGAATCCGATATCCGAATCCTTCAGTCAGATGAATGTCTTTTGTCGCAAAGTTACACAAGCGAGTCGCGTGTGCCGGTCCATCGAAATGATCGTACAAGCCCGCTGGGTCGAACTGTTTGAGGAGCAGGTGCTATACCGGAGCCAATTGAGACCAGAGCTATCAACAACAAAGCATAGGAAAGCTGTGTTCATGGAAGCCTGTCAGGACTTCGATTGGTCGGAGTAAGTACAGACACCTGGGATTGCGCAAGCATCTTAGATCGCATTCGCTGACTGCCGTGCCACCCCAGAAAGGAACTGCGCAACAAAATGGCCATTTGGCGTGGCTACAAAGAAGTGAAGGATTCAGCAGGTTGGGCCGCACTTGTCTTCGCTGGCATGGGCATATACCGGTTCTGCAAGTACCGAGTTGGTTTCGATAAAGATGCCATGCGCCGGCTACGGAATCTGCGAAAACGTCTCGAAGTCGCGGCCGATACCCTGCATCCCCATTGGCGCCAGCTTTTGTCCATAGTAGGCGAATCGCAAACCCTTCAATACCCTGGCCATCCGCACGACTGGGTAGTCTTCGAAGACGGATCAGATCCTGTGCCACTGCGCCAAACGTATCTGCTCCAAGACCCTTACTTTGCTTTCGAACACATCGACGAGTCGATCATCGATGAATCAGTTTGGGGATGCGAAGACCCACGCTGGACACCACAGTCGAGCGCAGTGGCGAGACCAGGCGGAGCCTACATCTGCGCTTTGTGTAACGAGCCGCAGTCCGACAAACCGCAAGACAACTCCTGTTTCTGCTTCCCAACCCTATTCGGTTGTGTAAAGCGCAAGCCACCGCCTGTTCAGATCCTGCGGACTTCCGATGGCAGAAACAACGGTCTGGCCGCATTGACCTCCTTCGACCGTGGTACAGCAATTGGAGAGCTGGTAGGCCTGATCACAAACGGTGTGAGACATCTCGATGTGTTGGATAGCTCAACACCCCTGGCCAGCTATCAGATTTGGCAGGGAAGAGCTGGAAATTTCACACGCTTCATCAACCATAGCTGTAAGCCGAATGCGCAATGCTCTACATTTACTTGGTTAGATACCCAGAGGGTGGTTCTGGTCAGCAAGGGGATAGACGCGGGAAAAGAGGTTACATTGGACTATGGAGACAAGTATTGGGCTGGGCTAGACAAAAGCTGTTTGTGTGGAGAGAGTTGTTGCAGGTATCGGAGAGACGGAAGGATTAGATAACATTGTCGGAAGCGACTTGCTGTATTTTACGCACACTTGATAGAGCACAACGACACTTTTGAACACTTGATATGTTCGATCTGGGGCAAACGTCATCTTGGGGCGAAAGTCGCAAATAATGGGTCCAGACGTGAAAGGCGCGTGTTGCAGTATCGATAAGACTAGCGCGACAGACCCCTGCACAAAATTTCGGAGACACTCGAACCTGAACTATCAGCGTACATACCAAACTTCAACAACAGCCATGGCGACTTCCGATTACAGCGAGTCCGGCGCGTCAGACCAGGAGATACTCGAGGCGCAATATGGGGCCAGAAAGAGAAGGAGACTGTCACCTACCGAGCCCGAGAGTTCAGCTTCCGAGGCTGAAGCTGAGAAGCCGCTGCCAGTAGCAGCACCAACGATCTCGCGCATCAAAGCCAAACAGCAAGACAAGTCGACGAATACCGCCAGTTCTGCACCCAAAGTCAACCCGAAGCTGGATTTTGCCACGCTCAATGTAGCACCATGGCTCTGCACTTCTTTGGCCAGCATGGGAATCAAGCGCCCAACGGGCATCCAGGCCTCGTGTATCCCTGAGATCCTCAAGGGGAAGGACTGTATTGGTGGATCGAGGACCGGTACAGGTAAAACTGTAGCGTTCTCTGTGCCGATAATGCAGAAATGGGCGGAGGATCCAAGCGGCATCTTTGCCGTTATTGTCACGTGAGTAGAAACCATTGCTGCCATGTGGGCAGTAGCTAACCGCCATACAGACCCACCCGCGAGCTCGCGATCCAGATTTACGAACAAGTGAAGGCAATCTCAGCGCCGCAATCTATGAAACCCATTCTCATCACCGGAGGATCAGACCAGCGGTCCCAAGCCATCGCTCTCGCTTCGCGCCCTCACGTTGTAATCGCGACACCAGGCCGTCTAGCAGAGCACATCCGCACCTCAGGCGAAGACACCATCTGCGGCCTCCGCCGCGTCCGGTTCGTCGTCTTCGACGAAGCCGACCGCCTACTCGCCCCAGGAAAAGGCTCCATGCTTCCCGATCTCGAGACGTGCCTCTTCGCGCTACCCCCCAAAGAAACGAGGCAAACCCTTTTATTCACGGCGACCGTAACGCCAGAGGTTCTAGCGCTGAAATCGCAACCGCGCGCACCGGGTCGTCTTCCCATCTTCGTGTCTGAAGTCGATACAGAGGATCTGGCAATCCCACCAAAGCTACAGCAGAGATACCTCCAAACGCCTGTCACGCACAAAGAATGCTATCTGCACGTCCTCTTGAACACGCCCGAGAACAGCAAAAAGAGCGTCATAATCTTCTGCAACCGAACCAAAACAGCCACCCTACTAGAATACATGCTCCGTCTCCTCGCCCACCGCGTAACAGCCCTCCACTCGGGCCTCAAGCAAAACGACCGCGTAGGCAACCTCGCTCGCTTCCGCGCACAAGCCGCTAGAATCCTAGTCGCCACCGACGTCGCAGCCCGCGGTCTAGATATCCCAGAGGTAGCTCTCGTTATCAATTTCGACGTGCCCCGTGACCCAGACGATTACATCCATCGTGTTGGTCGTACGGCGCGTGCGGGCCGTGTGGGAACGAGCATCACGTTGATTGGACAGAGGGATGTGGAGTTGATTCTGGCGATTGAAGCAAGGGTGGGCAAGAAGATGGAGGAGTTTGAGGAGGAGGGTGTTAGTGTTGAGGGGAGGGTGGTGAGGGATGCGCTTAAGCCTGTTACGGAGAAGAAGAGGGAGGCGCTGTTGAGTATTGAGGAGGGGAGGGATGTGCTGGGGAAGCGCAAGGTGGGTATGCAGAGGAAGCGGGCGGAATAGGTGTAGATGTCTGGCTGGGTTCGTTGTAGATGCATGCATGGGTCGAGCGGTCTCCTCAGGGGTCATTTCATACTCATGATATTCAGATAATACATATTGTATGCTCTTCGCTAGAACGCTATAGATCGATACATGAAGCAAGATACATTACTCATAACACTTCGCTGCTCACGGCGACCCCTTCCTTGGCCTAAATACCGTATTGAAGTTCTTTTGCGTAACGAACCAAGCGTTATGAGTCTTCCACTCAGCATCAGGGTGCTCGAGCTCGATCTACAATCAGCGTTAGTATCGTCCAGTCTTCGACATCATCAGTAGTGAGACTTACTTCAAACCTCCTCAGAAAACTCGGCACAAGCTTGTAGATCTCAAGAAGACTGATGTTCTTTCCAATGCACGTCCTAGCTCCAGCACCAAATTGCAACATCGTGCCCTTCATTTCTCTTAGCTTATCCGGACTAGCCTCAACCCAGCGTTCAGGACGGAAGGTATCGACATCTACACCGAACACCTCCGGCCGGCGGTGGACGATCCAAGCATTGCAGCCGACGATAGTGCCGCCGGGAATGAATTCGCCGCAAATCTGCATACCCTGCTTGGGTACGACGCGCTCGAGGATAAGGCCGGGTGCGGGGTGGAGACGGAAAGACTCTTGAATGACAGCGTCGAGGTAGGTGAGCTTCTGGGCTTCAGGCCAAGAGACGGTCTTGTCAGGACGAGACTCGACAACGCCATCTGCTACGGCGGTATCCAATTCTTGCATAAGCTTCGCATAGACGCGCGGGTGCTTGACGAGGAAGTAGAAGACAGCCGAGAGCGAGATGGCGGTTGTTTCTGAGCCGGCGAAGACCATAGATGTGCATGTTGACAGGATGCGGTTATCGTCCATGAACTCATGATCGTGACTTGCTTGCGCAAACTTGGAAAGGAGGTCGATGCCATGAGGGTTGGCTTTCTCGTCGTCGGAGAGGCCGAAGCGCTTGATCTTCTCGACTTGTGTGGCTCGCTCGTTGGATCGGTTCAGGGCGAAGAGGGTGACGGGGTGGACACGTTTGTCCAGGCCGATGCGCTGTGCGAGGAGGCTGATGGGGTTCTTCCAGAGAAGACGGTCGAGGATAGGAATTTGACCGACCTGAAAACGCGTAAGTATGACCCCATTCACGCCAGGTTCTGTTTGTGACGACTTACCGGTGCGACGTAGTCGAAGAACTTGCCCAAGAAGCCAATGATGTTATCCACGTCCTTGTTTCCCTCGACGAAACCCAGTCGCTTACTCCACGTCAACTCGCCGATAACGTCGAAGGCGAAGAACTGCAGCCATTGACTGAAGTTGCAGCTCTGGCCAGTTCTCGCGTACATGTCCTCCGTCTTGTCCAGCCAGTATGTGAGTGTCGAGCTAACGAGAGGCTCGTAGTTGACGAGCGAACTCATGGAAAAAGCGTTGTTGACGCATCGGCGGTACTTTGCGTGGAAGTCTTCGTCGGTGGTGGAGAAGAGGGAGAGCAGCGGCGCGCCTTTGGAAACGGCGCCTTGGACGGGGTAGAAGTCAGACTGGAGATTTTAGCTGTCGCTCAGGAGATTGACCGAGACGTGCATACCTTGGTAACACCCTTGTTCAGCCCATAGATAGCTTTGATAGCCTTCGGGTCCGCGAACGACAAGACGTTCGGTCCCAGCCTGACGATGTCTCCATGCTTGCGATGCAACGCGAGGTTGGTCCATTGATGGTTGTGCTTCGACACATCCCACAGCCGCCACCAGTTGGTGTATCCAGCAGCCCAATGTCCAGGGTATTTGTTCAGGCCGTTCCAGTACTTGTTGTTGAGGAGATATGCGATGGTAGTTGTAGCCAGTACAAGCGGCCAGTACTGCATCAGCAGCGGGACGATCTCATTGGCCAGCATGTCGCGCGATCAATCTACCCGGTAATAAGGTATTCGATCCGGGATCCAGATAACGGTAGCACGTGAGTAGGTATATAGCAGAGTAAGCCGCGCGACACGTATAGAACGCTCGCCCGGGGCAAAAGCTCATATAAATGGGAGCCAGCCGTTGGGCCTGTGCCGCCCACTTCCCGCGTCGTCAGGCAGTCGGGTCGGAGTCGGAATCGCCATCGTAACGCGTCTGGGTGCTTGCGCAAGATTGTGTGTGTCGGCAGTTGATAGCTGAGGCGTGAGATGATGAAGGTGGGTCGGTGGCTGGACTGGAGCGGCTTGGAAGGATGACGCGGGGACAGTAGCTCCGGGGCGCTTTCGCGGGGTAAACCTCGTCCATCACACTGAACGCCCATCCTCAGCCCTATTCATTGGCCTCAAAACTCGGTTATCGCGATGCATCCAATTTATCTGCCTGGCTCTGATTGGCTAAATCGCCTGTGTACAACACTACGCGGGATTGAAGTGATCGCAAACCCAAGTCTCTCACAACGCCTCTAGATTCGGCGCAGCATCGCCAATGTGCTCTGTGCTATTCTTGAACTGCCGATTATCGTCACTTCGACAGCTAAACCTTGTGTGAGACGATAGCGAGGGTTTGTGGACCTTTGTCCGTCGGCAGTTGTATTCCAATGTCATAATTGCAACTGCCGATATCTGAAGGGGGAATGGGCGCCGAAGCCTCCGAGGCCTCGTCACGTGGCTCCGGCTACAGCTCGCCCTCGGCTGTCGTACAACCTTTCCAGCAGTCTGTGAGGATCACGAAATTCTTTTTTGTGTTCGTGCGAGTTGTAGATGCGTTCGACGATCGGCAAGAATGTGCGCAATTTGTGAGCAATGCATCGTCTGGTAACAAGCTCATTAGAAGCACAGATTGCGGAATACGCGTATGGGTTTTACCGTAATGGTGGACAAGTCAAGTTGCATGTCTTGCATATAAACATGGGCAAAACCCAGCTGTGTAACCCGGATGTATGCAAGCCCAGCAGAGTCTCGACGTCAGCGGCCCTCCCGCACCTACCTTCCGCCTGCATCACATTCCGCATCACGAGAAAACTAAATTGTCTAGTGCAACCTGACGAGGGAAGTAGAGACTGAGTCAAAGTTGGCACGAAGGAGTCATGATCAAAGATTTGTATTGCTAGTATAGAGCAGTAGTACTTCTTGCATAATGTTGTGTCATGCAAAAGTGTCGACTACCATCAACAGCTTAGCCGGTGTTGAACCGACTGAAGCCATCCTGTGCACCAGTAAAAGAAAACCATACTAGAAGGATGAGAGCCAACAATCCGATCCGTGGGAATGTATGGCTGCTTAGCCAGTGCACTGGTAGTCATAGTTCATGCGCGAAGCATCCGTATCCTTGGGGACATAAATAGTCACCCGACGACCATCCGCCTCAAGCGTACCCACATACGAGTCAAAGAAGGGACGCCAGTAGACCTGACCAGTTCCACCAGGGCAATCAATGTTGATGGTAACAGACGTGGTGCTCGTCATGGTTGTCGAAAAGCCGGCGGAAACGCCAATCTCTGCGCTGACTGCATCCCATGCACTTGCACCCAGACTGGCGCTTGCTGTGATGGAAAAGGTCTCTGACTTTGCCTCTGAGACGGTGTAGGCGCCGTTGTTGGGGACTTGGGCGACGAAGACGGCGGAGCCGGGCATGTAGACGTTGTAGGATGTGACGACGTCTGAGAACCTGTCCGCTTGCTGCATCGTGAATGGTTAGCTTTCGGAGAAAGAGAGCGATGAAGCTGGTGTACATACCCGGCTCTCCAATTCGTTGACTCGAGATGCCGCGGCGAGGCTATCGATCTCCGCCACCAGAGTCTGAAGCTCAGCTTTGTTCTCTTCGACAGTAATCTCCTTGTAGCTGGTTGCTGTAGCCGTAGACATCAGGCGCCATTCAGTGGCAAGCCTGATGGCGACCTCAGTCCAATCCGCAGGCGGAGCTGGTGACTGGTAGCCGCCCGTATCCTCTGCGCAACCATTTTCGATGGCTCTGGCTCTTCCACCCCAGCTAGAGGCAGAATCGCAGACTTCATACTCCTCGTTGTTGCAGAATGAGATACGGCAGTTGCCTCGTGTCCAGATGCGGCATTCTCTTGGGATGACGCAGACACTCATGTCTGGGTTGGTGCCCTCGCCAAAATAGCCGTTGCCACTCATGATGTTGCGGCCTGTTCATGGTGAGAAAACTCAGTATTGCTCTTCAATGTGACCATTTTGGAAGCAAGGGGAATCAGAGTACTCACAGTCAGCCCAGTTGGGCTGCAATCTTGCCTCGCAGAAGATGCCGCCAGTTTGCGTTCCGTCCCAGTCCTCTTGACGAGGAGCAATTGGGGAAGAAGTTCCCATTGCCGCAAGCATCGGCAGAAGGGTGAGAATGTAGTTCATCATGTCGAAGATGGAGTCTTGAGGTTGAGGATGAACCAGGTGATCTGAGAAGAAGGTGTTTGGCTGTGATGATGGGATTGAGAGCAAAAACATACCTCTTTATACCCTTCTGCCCTTCCATCTGCCTCACAAACATCCGTGTATCCAGCGTCATGGCTGGCCTAACTATGCACAATGTCTACTATCGAACATGGGATGTGGTTTGCCTTGAACGAGAACCACAGCTCTGAGATCTAGCGATTGGTCCTCTCGTACACTATCGTTGATGTGCATACCTCTGGGGGCCAGAAGTGATGCGCTACCGAGAGTATACGATACTTGGCTGCTGTCATCCAGTGTCTTAGAACGATTGTCTAAGATTAGCAGAGCCTCTTGCCAGGCAGAAGCATCCGAGTTTCCCGGTGGTGGTGAATTTGGGTGAGTGGAGAAGGGGCTGAAATGAAGACCTCAGATATCTCGATCGCAGGACGATATCACAGTCCCAATAACTTCTCGTGGTGCCTTGCTCCTCTATGACTTCAGTGCCTTCCATTTGCACGTCTTGCGGAAATACGACAGGCAGACGTCATGACTTGAATAGTTCCCATAATCCCACATGTTCTCAAAGAGAATTCGACAAGACTGAGCCAACTTCCTCTTCCGGCTTCACCACACGCTCGTCGAGAC